TATGCTGGGCTTGCAGTAAGGTAGATGACACCCTCAATGGAGGCTGGCACCAGTAGTGCTCCTGCGGGTCCAGCACTGTTCTAGACATGAGACGACATGTGACAATTTAGTTAAGACCTTGGCCTTTAGAGTCCAGGTAGACCTGAGTCTGGATCTCGATTTTGGCTCTGCCACTTTCTAGCTATGCAGTGGTCACAGGAACTGAGCTTGTCCAAGTCTCAGCATTCCCATCCAGGAAAGGGGCCCAGTGAGTATCCCTTCCTGTGTGGGTTCTTGCAGAGATAAGGCCCTTCAAAGTGCTCAAAGGGACTGACACGTAGTAAGCCCTCAGAAAGTGCAGCTCTCCATCCTCCAACAACCCCTAAGAATTATCATCCCCCTGGTATAGACACGGGAACTGAGGCCTGGGAGGTTGTCATTTGTCCAATGTCCAAAGACTAAGAAGTGACCAAAGGGATTTCCCTCTGACACCTCCCTCATTTCTGAGTGGCATTCAGTGAGCTCTCTTCTTGCTGAATATTCAAAAAACCAGACTCTTGCCTCACTGACCCTGGAAAGTTGCAGAGGCTGGATTCCTGGGAAGTCCCTGGTGGGAGCTGGATTCTCACTGAAGCCTCTGGACTCACACTGCCCCCTAACCCATGGCGTGTGTCTCCCTGACTGTAGGAGCTGAGTGACCAGGTGGGTTCGGAATTTGAGAACTCGGATGTCAGATGGGTCATCACGGTGCCTGCCATCTGGAAACAGCCGGCCAAGCAGTTCATGAGACAAGCTGCTTACCAGGTGAGGGCGGAGGCCGGGCAGGTGGGACGGCAGCAGAAGGACCCAGGATGCCCGTGGTGGTGACGGTCGCCCTGCTCAGGTATCACCCAGTATTCACAGGCCTCCAAGGGGACAGAGAGGAGGCTATGGGAAGGGACTTTGAGGGTCCCGGGGCCTGGGACAACTCTCTACATCCTGAGAGTCAGTATTCTGTGTCTTCAACCTCAGGCCCAGCTGGGACCCATCACCAAGGCAGTAGATGTCCCTGAGCCTCCATCACACCTCTTAGGAGACATCCTGACCACATTTCGCAGGGGGATATTCTGACGTGGCTTGTGGCCACGTGTACGAGCCTTTCTATACAAAACCCCCACAGAGTCTGAGCACAGTGAAGCGACCGTGGAGCCCTAGTGTGGCACCCTGGGTTGGACACTCGGGGGCCTACTCCTCGCAGCATCCAGAACATCCTTGCCAACCGTCAAGGGTCGGGAGCACCCCTCCCGCATGCGCTCCCCTTTCCCGGCTGCTTCCTCCGCTCTTGCCTTCCTTTGGGAATCTGGCTCCCTGTATGGATCTGCCAAAAATAGATTTGTTTTCATAGGCATGAGAGAAAAGGGTGGAGGTTCCAGAAAAAGGCCATTTCTTTAAGATGGAAAGGGGGAAGGAGCCGTCTAGCTGTTCACAAAAGCCCTCATCATGGAGGTAGTGTCCAAAGATGGGGCAGGGGAACACGGCCGGTGTGAAGATGCCGCCCGGTGCTCAGAGCTTTCCTCGGGAAGGAGATTCAGGATTCAGGGCTTTGACTCACAGTTCCCAGGCCACAGGAAAGCTTGAGCAACAAGTTTGTGACCTGATAAAGGGTCAAATTATATTTTTAGCCTGAATAAGAAAAAAAAGAGGTGCAGTTCCTGGTCAGTTCACCAGGGCAAGTCATCCCAGGATGACCTCTCTGAATGGCTGAGGCCCTCACTGGAGAGCCTGAGGAGGACACCAGGCCCCGGGAGGGCTTTGGAATAAAAATGGTCCCTCAGAAAGGAAAGGGCCAGCAGCTCCCGTCAGGGACAGCTGTCCAGCCTTGTGAATTTGCTTTCTGAAGCCCAGAGGCACCCTGTAGGCAGGGCCTGGCTTTTCCATACTGGGGGACATTTTCTGGGCTTTAACCCTTGATGATTTTGCTTTGATACTTGTGTGCAGTTTACGGTGGCCCAGTGGATTTAAAGATGGCAAGAAATCGTTCTTGCCAGATCATTAGTTTATTCATTAGACACGCCCACAGGCCTCTGTGTGCCTCGACTGTGGCAGGCCCTGGATTCATCTCCTGCCTAGACAGGTCCCTGTGCACAGGTGGCTCGTGGCGGAGCAGTGTGGGGCTACAGGGGGTGCCTTAGGGACATGGCTGTTTTGTAGCCTTTTAGGTGGTCTCTTCAGCTTGTCTTCTGAAGAGTTCCGGGGCAGAACCAAGTCAGGCTTGCTACATTGCTCCATGCTGTACCACCCCGCCATTGTTATATAGATAAAAAAGATACTATACCTATACCGTGAGAGTGGATTTTATGGGTCAGCTTGACTAGGCCAGTGAAATGCTCAGCTATCTGGCTAAAATTTATTCTGAGGGTTCCTAGGAGGGTGTTTTAGATGAATTTGACATTTAAATGGCTAGACTGAATAGAGCAGATGACCCTCCCTTGCGTGGCTGGGTGTCCTCTAACCCACTGAAGGAATGAGTAGGGCAGAGGACTGACCCTCCACTGAGTGGGGAAAAAAAGCCTCCTGCATGTGTTTGAGCTGGGACACTGGGTTTTTTCCCTGCCTGTGGACTGAAACTGAAATGTGGCTCTTCCTGGGCCTCCAGCCTGTGGCCTCTGGATGTAGGATCCACGCCATTTGGATCCCCTGGGGCTCCAGCTTGCTGACTGCAGATCTTGGGACTTGTCAGACTATAACTGGGAGCCAAATCCTTCCAATCAGTCTCTTTGTATGTATCTCGACGTCCTCCTGGTTCTGTCTCCCTGGAGAACCTGGCTAATACAGCACCTGAACAAAACCCACAGTCCTCAGCCCAGCGACTACTGAGCATGTTCAAAGGGCGTCCGTCTGCCCACAGAGCATCCCACCAGACTGACTTCAGGCATGAGAACCTGAAGAATGAGGTAGGATGGGTGGGCAGTCAGGGCAGCTGGGGGACTAGGCACCTCCACTCTGCTTGGGTGGGCCATGTGGAGACCCTTCCAGGCTTATGGAGGCTTCCCAGGTACAAGTTCATGGCACAGTCACATAGGGCTGGGCTTCACCCTCCCACCTGCCAGGTGCAGGGGAAAGAGGGGCAGAGTAGACCTGGGATGGCCCTCTGCTCACTATCCTCTGGTCTCGATAGTGAGTCACATCTTTGCCCATGAGGCCTGCAGAGCCATGCATGGGGGTATATTTCATCTATGGGACTGCCCGGACTTGTGTGGTCTCAGTGCTTCTTGAAGAAATGAGTCAAACCTCAATCTTTTATAATTCACAGACTCAGGATACGTATAGACTTTTTGAGAGCATTGGTGACAAGACGGTAGTGGAAAGAACAGCTGATCCCCCTTCCAAGGCCTTTGGGAAAGATCTGGAACCAGGAGAGAGTTCTACTGGACTGATCTAGATTTTTCTAAAGGCATCTTGCCTAAAATGTCTAACTGTAGTAGGTTCTAGAAACCTGTTAAATAAATGAAGTTCCCATATGTACGATGATCTCATCTAACATGGAGACGCAGCTTGCATTTGCCTCCTGGTCTGAACAAGCTGCAGTGAGAAACAGTCCTACCAGGGGACAGAAGTGCGTCACACCCAGCAGTGGTGCAGCTGTAGCCCTCTTTAGCCTGATGACAGGCCGGCAGAGCACTTACCAGTTCTGGCCGTTTTTCTCAGCTATGGACACAGTCTCTTGGCGGATCTTCCTGGCAGATTGCAGAGGAGGAGGGCTGTGGAGCTGAGCAGTCGGGGTAAACACCCACTTCCGCGGGCTCCCCAGGGCCTTCCCCTGCCGAGTGGAGCTCGAGATCACAGAGCGAGGCTCTGAAAAGCTACTATGAGGAGGCTGCTCTTGCTGGCCCAGATTCCCAGAGGAGTCAGTGGGGGTAGCAGGTAGCACGGCTCCTGGTTCAGGCACTTTGTAGAATTCCCAGGTTGCGCCTGTGGAACGTGTGTGTTCAGCAGAGGTAAGGGTCAGAAAAGTGCAGAAGAGAGGCTGGCTAGAGGGCTGGTCGATTCATTGCCTTTTCAGCTGCCTCCTGAGCACCTACTATGTGCTACAGGTCGAGGAGACCTGACCGATGCCCTTAGAAAAGGCACTGTCTGTGTAGGTGGAGACAGAATCTGTGAAGTGTGCGGCCAGGGCCCCTGTGGAGGGACCCCTCACAGTGGACGAGGAGCAGTGGGGTACCAGTTCCGAAGGCAGAGTCAGTGAAGAGCATGTTCTGCTCCAGCGGACCTGGCCTGATCTCAGGCAAACAGAGCCACGGGTCTCCAGAGGGCTGCGGCTGTGAGTGGCTGCAAGAAACAAAAGTTTTCAGAGTCTGGCCCGTTCCCTCCTGTTCTTGGAATCTTAAGTGAGTCTGGGACTCCTCCTGGGGAGATGGGATTTGTGCAGAACCAGCTGCCTGCCCCGCCCCCACCCTGCAGCTCTCCTCTGTGGCACTGCAGGAGTTTGTTGGTGGGAACAAGGTCCCTCTGCTGGGAAGTGTGAC